GGCCAGGGCCTGGCCGAGTCCTGTCAGCCCGAAGGGGAAGGCTGTCAGCCACGGCCGCGGGGCCCAGCCCCGCCGGGCCAAGCCCTGCGGTCTTCTGCCAGGCTTCTTGTGGTGCTTGGCGTCTGGCCGCAAACCCCTAACCGTAATGCCTCTCGTTCCTCCTTGGTTTATAATTCAAATACGTCCTCATTGCTCAGGACTTAATAACGAATGCTGTAGCCTGATGTCTTTATGATGGGCCGTTCACTACGCTGCCTGATCCTTAATTGCAATATTAACGTCATTTCCAATACCCTCATGTAAAGTAAGCCCCTCTAGATTACGTAGCAATAAGGCTGCGAGGTTTAGCCAGAGTTAGTCTACTAAATTCTACTGTAAGATTCCGTATGTTACCGTGTAATACTGACTTCATGAAACTAAAATTGAAACTTAAATCTGGTGTATGATGTGGCTGTACTCTAGTGATACGAAAATACTACTCTTCTACTAATCATTTACAATTGGAGCACAATGGCACGAACGGAACTGTTGGTCTGCAATTTTTGCCAGCACCTAGTAGGTGGCCAGGATTGAAGTAAACAAGATGCCTACTGGCAATTCTCTGAAGATGTAATCATCATCCAACTTTTCTTGTTGCTACTTCTGCAGATAGCCAGAGATACCATCACGTTGGAGAAATGTAAGGTTTATGCCCAAGCAGTGCCCCAGTAGCGTCACACTGACCCAGAGGTCTAACAATAACCATGTTAGTGCTGACCATTTAAAAAGAAAAGTAATTTTTGTTTTGGGTCAAGCCTGGCCCACAAACCACCCCCAGCCCCCCTATTTCTGCTCTGATCTGCTGGCTGCAGCAAGTTTTATCTAATTTCTTCGTGTTTTCACCCTGGATTACTTCCTCAGCGAGAGGAAAATTAAATGCCAGGGAAAAAAGAACCCAGAAATACTTACACTATAAAAATGTAACTGGACTTTTATGGCCTTTCTGAGACAGGGGACCATCTTCCTGCTGGTCTATTCTGCTGCTCTCTTGTTTTAAGGATTTTTATTTTGTTACTTTGCTTATCTGAGGCCTAGCATTACTTCTGCTGAAACTCCTACATTCCACTTGGAGGAAGATCTGGTTTCCAATATAAAAGGGAAGCGGAATGAACATTTATACATCTATTTCTTTTTACAAAACAGAAAGAAAATGAACCAACTGCAGGCTTTGCTGAATGACAGTCTTATCAGAACAAAGCACGTGGAAAACGCAGCTATCATCGACATAAGGGAAAGAAAAGTCTGTGCATCAACCTTTGGCTTTAATGTAAGAGATCAAAGAGCGTCCTGGGAAGTGACAGCAGAGGTAGAAGCTCCGGGAATCCAGAGCACAAAGTAGCGATAATGGCAGGGAGCACAGCGCTCTACTAAATACACTCACTTCTTTCAACCTCGGAGCCGAAGTTTGGGTACAGCCTAGCTGCTGTGTTGAGAGGCGAACTTGTGAAGTTGATCACTAATTTCACACCTTTGATTTTTGGAAGAAAGATGTCATTTAACAAGGACTCCTTTTTGACTACTTTGCGCTCGGTGATTCCACCAGTGAAGCAGATGTACGTAGGTCCATTCTCTGGCACCGAGACCTGCTGGTATGGAATGTGCCATGCCCATGCTATAAGCCCAAAACAGAGATCGGCTGTACCAGGTTGCCTACGGGGAGCGGTCCTGGGCCATTCTAATTTGGCAAACTGTGCCTCGGAATTGTTTGGGAAAGTGCTTGCTGGCCCAGGCCAAAACTCTACCTGGACTGTTCCGACAGTACACAGAACTGCTCCCTGGCACCTTAAATTTGCTGGTATAGATGTAGCTTATCTGTTTTCATTGTCCATCAGCTGATAAACAGCAGAATAACAGCACTTCTGGTCATATCATGTTACATGGCAAAACTAATATGCACTCCCTGACACAGTCCATGAACTTTCTAGGAGTTCAGACATGCTCTCCACACCGCAGTCATCCTTACGTCATTGGAAGGTACCGCTTCCTCTCCTCACCCCCATGATACCAGCTCTCAGACATTTCCAGGCAGTTTTTCCAGGGGTACGCATTGCTACCCTTGGCATGCTCAGAAGAATGTGTTCAGAAGATGAAGCTCTTGTTAAGATAGCCCCATGCCTGGGGACAGATTCTCAGCAGAGGGAGTCATCAGTCCACTAGGTAATAGTGACATCGTCTTTAATATGTAAATGATCTTTAATATAAACCGCAGCTGTCAGAGATGCCAGCCTGCTGGCTCTTCAGCAAGGCAGATTACATGCTTGAGGTCCAGAGCAAAGTCCTCAGCCAGTGTAAATTACCACCAGCTTCACTGACTTGAAAGGATTTCAGGCCAGAAGGGATAATTGGATCATCTTATCCAACCAGCTGAATATAAATCTGCCAAACCAGTGACCCAGTTACACATACACTTACCCCAAGAACTCATTGACATGAATAGACCTGTGACCTGTGTGGACTGCTCCTTTGAGGTGTGACAGAATCATAGAATCATAGAATAGTTTGGGTTGGAAGGGACCTCTAAAGGTCATCTAGTCCACCCCCCGGCCGTGGGCAGGGACATCTTCAACTAGATCAGGTTGCTCAGAGCCCCGTCCAACCTGACCTTGAAAGTTTCCAGGGATGGGGCATCCACCACCTCTCTGGGCAACCTGT